AACCAGCAATGCAGCTTGGCACTACACGTTGCGCCATCTAGTGACTAAAAAATAAAACAAATTGGGTAGTCCAGGACGGCCCCGGTCGCGAGGACTGCGGGCGGGCGCATTTAGAAACCACGTGTGAACGTGACATTTTGGATGAACGTGAGCGTTTTTAGAACTGTTTTTTTTTTTTTTTTTTCATAAAAATAAGTCTCAACTTTACGTCTCTATGACCTTTCCGGGTTCCTGTGACATCTCCCCTAAGCCTAGAGTTTCCCCCAAAAATAAACGCCGCTACTGCTGCGTGGAAGACTGCCACAGTCGCGAAGGTTACCCAAGCGTCAGACTTTACCGCTTCCTTTTAAGATCTTGGGAAGCGACACGGCGACAAAGTGGATTACTGGAGTGCGATGCATCAAGTAAGTGAATTTTACATCAATTGTTGAAGTGAACGAAAATAGATATGCAGGCTTCGAAAGTGGTCTGACAGACTCCTTTTGCAAAATAACGTATTTATACAAGTTGCTTTACGAGTCTCTGAGACAGCCATTTAGAGAAATACAGTAGAAAAAATCGGGCCGATTGTTGCTTCGTTTTGACGTCGAAAATCAGGAGATCAGGTCTTCAAGCGAGATGCCCTTTGACCTGTTCCGGCACTCGTAGTTGTAGGCGTGCATTTGGTTGCGACCGCGCGCGCCGTTCGGCACGCCCGGTCGCTACCAAAACCTTTTAAGCATGCAAGTTTTCAAATAGTGGATTTTCGTAGAACAAATTTTTGTTTGTTGCGGCTACAAAATGTAATGCTGAGTCTGGTAACAAATGTGACGGCGTGCAGAAAACAGTATGCACACTTTTTTTCTAGGAAAAGCTCATGCGAAGCGTAAATATCCTTCTCACACGCACACTTTTTTGCCTGTCGCCTTTTTACACCAGGCTTGTGCACTGTTCTCTAGCACGCAGAGTTCGGTTCTAATTATCCACATTTTATTCTAGCGTCGTGGGGGCGTCGGGAGAAGAAGAGGACGATCGAGCGAGGCGCGAGCGGGGGCCAGCCGGCGAGGAAAGAGGAAGAGCCTGCTGCACCAGGCTGGAGCCGGGCAGGAACGATAGAGCCGTTCTGACTGGTCCGGCTAATGTCGGTCCCTGGAGCATTCCACCAGCGAACTTCGGATCAGGACCGGCGGAAACGGCGAGCCTGGCCTTATCGGCCTAGGCCATGACGGTCCAGGAGTGGTTCCGCAGCGAAACTCTGGCTGTGATAGCCCGGAACAGCTAGCGTACTCAGTGCGTAGGAAGGACGATCCGCAGGCGTGAACACTGACTGCGACTGCGAGCTATGAACGACAGGTGACATCTAGGGTCGGCGGGTCCGGACTGCCGGCTCTCGAAGACGGGCAACCGGGAAGTACAGTAAACCCATTCGCTGCCTTCTCGTTGTGTTGTGTCACTTCCTGGGAGACGAGCGAATCACAGACAGATCGGGCGGCGATTATTATAGAGCGACCCCGCAAGTGCACGAAGACAGTTCAAACTGGTGTCCAAATCACAACTCCAGATTATGCTCTAAATACTTCGACCTATCAAGGCTCCCGATGGTCTTAAAAAACCGCATAAAATAAATAGGGACATGGCGCGCACGTGCACATGGGGACTGCTGAAATCGGGGTCGCCGCCGCTCGCCACGGCCCGACGGGCAGACTGGCCGACCCATTAACACAGACACCTCCGCTTGTGGCGCTGAATGCAGCACTCTCGTGGCGCCGCCTGGCCATTGCCGGCTGGCTATCATGCACATGCGCCATCTTGCCCCAAACGACACTTAAAAGTATGATATCGCACAATGTGAAAGGCCTCGCTCGAAGCTTCGATTGATCATGACACCGCCTTTGTTGCACTTCCTGAGTGATGACTCATTTGCGAAAGGTACGTTGAGGTGCGCGGAAAAATAAAATTCCGGGTGCTGATGGGGATCATGCGAGTCATTTATATTTATTGCAGCCGTGCGAACGTTATAGTTGACGCAATCATAAAATTCTGTGCCCACTGACACCAACTTGACAACAGGAGCCGAAATCCACACGAACCTTTCTATGCCACAGAGAGAGGAGCGCTAACCGTTTGGAGCGCTCCCCCAACTCCGACGTTACCGCGCCGCCTCGAGGCGCCGTCAGTCCGTTGGCGTCTCGCCGTCTGCCGTGAAGTGAAGAGCGAACGCCGAGGAGAGACGAAAGCGAACCCCCCTTCCCCCCCCATACCCCCTCTGCCCTCTACAGATAGTTGAGCCATTGCGGAGGGCGCTGGCAAGGAGGAGCCTGCAAGATCAAGCACCTCCCCCCTCTCTTCCGCCCTCCACAGGAACCGGCGCGCTTACATGGCGAAGGAGCAGGCGAGCGACACCCAAACCAACCCTGAGCCCCACACAGTAGTTGCGAAGCGAGCGTCTCCTCGCCTCGGCCCGGGAGCTCACGTGACCAACCCAGCTAAGATAATACCAGCGCTCACCGCAACTCATCATGCCCATGGTCCTCAAGCTCACGTCATCACGCAGACTAATGCGATCACCGGACTCATATCCACCCTAAGACTCACGCCTTGATTCAGGCTCATGCTCATGAGCCTCGAAACTCACAATCACACTCGAGACCTCAAAACTCACACTCATGAGTACTTCACTTAGCGCTCAAGCTCACACTCACACTCAAGAGTTTTAAGAACTCACAATCACACTCACGATCAAACTCACGCTCATGAGTTCGCAGGGCTCAAGCTCACACTCATACTCAAGAGTTTTAAGAACTCACAATCACACTCACGATCAGACTCACGCCCATCAGTTCTCAGGACTCACACTCACACTCACACTCATGGGTTCACGTAACTCACGATCACACTCACACTCAAACTCACAATTTTTCGAGACTCGCGGCCTCACTCACGATCACCTCAAATCTGACGGTGAGCGTGAGTGATCGTGAGTGATCGCACTCATGAGTGAGAATGCCGAGGTATGTATGGAACGCAAGGTTCTCGACACTTTCGAGCCTAAACCCAGAACGTTCCTGCGTTACGTAGACTACTGTTTCTGCGTCGTCAAAACCGGCGAGGTGGATCGTCTTCTAAAGCACCTGAACTCGGTGGATGAGTCGCTACAATTCACGGTGGAACGCGAAGACAAGGGTTCCCTTCCCTTTTTGGATGTACTGGTAACCAGGAGTGGCAGTGGACTAAGCTTCTCTGTTTACGGGAAGCCAATTCCCACCACCCCCGATGTCATAAAGCGTCGGTGGCCTCTGCATTCTTCAGGCGCGCCTTCTCCACCTGCTCCACAAAGAAAAGCCTCCAGGAGGAAATCAAGGTAGTTACATCGGATCTCCGCAAGAACGGCTACCCTAAACGGTTTATTCTTCGGATACTCGAGAAATCAACACATCCACCCCTAGGGCGCAGCAGTCCCCCTTCCGATCGCGTCTGTGTCCCCTACATTAGCCGCATGCACCAGCGAGACCCTTTCCCGCGTCCTCGGTCGCTACGGGATTGCGGTGACTCATAAGCCCGTGTCCACAATCGGCCATCGCCTCCCCCTCCCGAAGGATCGGCCCCCCAAAGAAAGGGCCCAAGGCTTGGTCTACCGTATACCATGCAAGGATTGCCCGGCCTCATACGTTGGCGAAAGTAAGAACTTCGCAGAGAGGCTTACGGCGACACAAATATGATGTCCGGAAGAAGGATGTGAAGGCGAGCGCCCTCGCGGAGCACGCAGAAGCAGCCGGCCACACTGTCGACTTCGAGGGAAGCACCGTGCTGGCCTTGGAGAAGAATTGGCGAAAGCGGCTCTTCGTTGAGTCCTGGTTTATCCAGCGCACAAAGGGGAACGTGAATCGTTCTTCGGGCAATTATGTCCCTGCCCAGCAGCTACGTATCGGGACTGCGTGACGTGAGCAAAGCCCCCTACATCCGTATGTGCACTTAGACGACACGTGTTCTTTTCTTTTCGTCACTCACCCGTGAACAAGGGACCGAACTGGTCCCGAAATGTCGGGTAAATGTTTATTAAATTTTTGGTTAGAGTCCCTATTTTTCGCTTCATGTCTACTCCTAACCAGGCAGAGGGCTGCCGAACGTTTACCTTCAAGTTATTGCTGAAAGGCATTTAGTCTGGACCTCTAGCACTACATTTAAGCAGAGAACGAACGTTCGGCTATGCGTAGTTTATTTGTAATAATACAAAAAAAAAACTTTTTTTTTTTGGGGGGGGGGGGGGGGGGGGGGGGGCGATTATTTGGCACCAAATAAGTTACTAGTCAAAAGCATGTTCCATTTTTCTCGCTGATATTTTGCATAAAACATAATTTCTAGAGTGTCATAGACTCTGTCTACAAGTAATAAGCATTAGCACAGGCAGTATTTATTCCATACTATCGTCAGAAACGTTGAAACCTTCGGTAAAGTGGCTCAAAGCGGGTATACGTTGTCGTCGCTTCCCTCGATGCACCCTTTTTACACCCTTTCAACGAAGGAAGGGTTCGCTTAACAACACCCACCTTTTTTTTTAATATTAATTAAAGAATACTGCGGCTCACACTTGTGAGCCATAGCATGGGGTGGTTACAAAAAACAGTGACATATTGCGCCCAAGAAAACTTACTCGTGGCAGAAATAATTGCCTCGACAAAAACGTTCAAAAACGTTTTTGGAAATTATGAAGGAAATGTAATAACCTAAATAGCTGGACTGAAAGAGTGCAGCGATAACGGAAAATGTGCAAGTTTGGTGCACACTCTTAACATTCAAAAGGGTGTCATTTTTTAGTTTGTAGATAGTTACAAAAATGATGTAAGAAAGCGTATAGCCTGCTACCCGTAAATGAACTTTTTTCGGTCTCAAATAGTCATTAGGTGCTCTGGTCAGTCGATGCGATTTGGGCCTACGTCTGAGCACATTCCTGAATTCCCTGATCGTGTGGATAAACCGTTCTCTCTCTTCTCTCTCCTGGTTTGTTTAGGCGTCAAAGTAGGATGTTACCTCGACTGTTCTGCACGCTTCTTCTGACGCAGCTGCGTCTTGAGAGTGCTCGCTCTGCTGTGCTTCTCGAACACGAGCGCAAGATTGTCGTCGACATGCACAACGAGTTCCGAGACACAGTCGCCCGGGGCAAGGCAAGGTCTTGGCCTCCGGCGGCAGATATGCTAGAAATGGTAAAAGAAGAAATCAACCCGTATATACGCACCTTCTAGGGATGCAACGAATCTTGCCATATACGTATATATATATGGTGTCCCAAATAAGTTTCACCAAACTCAAAAAAAAAAAAATAATAACGGTGCGCTTTTTGAGAGTGGGAATGTGCACATTTTTCTAGTCAACATAGTTATTTAGTCAATTAAGACTAATAAAACTATTTTTTTATTATTCGTTTAAGAGCCTAGGTGTGAAATGGAAAGTTCTAGAGCGCATTGAGAAACACACACTCAAGGTGTTTGCTACGTGATGCACTTTGTGCGCTTCAATTTATTAGCCAAAAAAAAAAAACGTAAAATAAAAAAAATAAAAAAGAACACACATGAAAACGCGCCCGTCCGTCGCGCTTGCAGCACTTTCAGGCGTGCTCTGAAGGAACGAAGTCCATTTTATCACTGGCGCGCTGTCCGAGACAGAACCTTGTGAGGTGCTCGCGCATGTCTTCGGGGACTACCGTCCCCGAAGACATGCTCGAATACCTGCTGCTGCAAAGCCCTGCCTCGGAGAGCGCGCCAGGACCCAGGAGCACGTCTGAGAGCGCTGCACGCGCGGGCGCGTCAGAGGGGCGCTTTGTTACGTGCTTTTTTTCTCTTTTTGTCATATTGTGTGGGCTTTTTTCTTTAGCTAATAATAAAAAAAAAAAAGCTCGCAAGTGTATCGTGTAGGAAACAGCTTAATTGGGTGTTTCTGAATGTGCTCTACAACTTTTCAACTCGCACCTCGGCTCTTAAACGAAAAATAACAAAATTAGCTCATTTGTCTTAATTAACTAATTAACTAGGCGCACTAAAAAGAAATTGTGCACTTACCCACAACGCTTCCTAACAACACACACTCTCGCTCACTCTCACTGGTTCCACTCTCGCAGAGCGCTCCACTTTTTTGTAAATTTTAGTGCAAGTTATCCGGGGTATATATAAATGGTGTCCGCAAATGAGCTATGCAGTATTTTGTTTCAAAAAGAAAACTTCCGTGAGGAAGTTTTCGCCCTCGGACGAGTTTGGAGGCCATGACGGCCGCTAGGAAAGACGTTACTCGGGTTAATTCGTCAGCTCATTAGGTTAAACGTTTCAATGCAGAGACCATGTCGTCTGCTCCTTGTGCAGGAGTTGCGGTGACTTCAGAACGACGCTGAGCTTTTACTGACTTTGATTGGTTTTGAATGGAAGGATAGTGGGTAGACCTCAATGCTAGATGCCTTGAGGTCTACCCACTAGTTTTTTTCTTCAATCAGCCAATAAGAGCTCGTCGTTCTGAGATCATCGCAACCCCTGCGCTAGAAGCAGACGGACTTGCGTTCCGCATTAACGTTTTACATTTTAATTGCTGGGGGCATGATGGAGTTGAAAAATTGACAGCGCTTCAGACCATGTATCCTAAGAGTTTAGCCAGTGTATGATCTCACCGCCGTACGCTCCCCTCCCGAGGGGGCCAATCAGCCGGCGGTGCAAAGTGAGAAGCGCGAGCGCATGCGCGTGAACTCCATGGTTATCCCAGCTATGCGGAGAGGGCCGCCATTTTCATTCATTCGCCTGGAGGAATGCGTGCGATCGACATCCGAATGTCGCTTATCTCCTTTTATTTCGCTGGCTCTGGCAAGAAAAGTAACGAATGAAGTTTTTTCGACTTTTGACCGCAAACTTTTATTCAGACGTAAAAGAAGTCGGCCCATAGCAGACGACGCGTAGCCTCAACAGTGCTCTGCGCCGAAAGCGTGTTGCGTCAAAATGGCGGTCGTTTGCTCTATTGCTCCCTCCTCCGCTCCTTCGGCGCTCTCTCTCTCTATCCCTCTCTCTCCCCCCCCCCCCCCCCCCCCCCCCTTCCTTCACTTTCTTCTTTCCAGCGACTTCATATCGCCACGCCTACTGGCCGGACTCATGCGGCTTTGGTCTCGATCAGAGTTTCTGTATGCGCGGTGAGAAGCTCGCTGGGGGGCGCTTTTGTTTTCCCCGCCATGTGTCGTGCACGTGCTACCCATGCGGTTATGTTTTAATTTTCATCGTGCGTAGAAGCTTAGCATTGCACGTGCTTGCAATCGCAGAGGAAGCTGAATTATTCTCTCTGGTTGTGAAAAAAGTTCTACCAGGTGGTGGCCCAACTTCTCGCCGCGAATAGGCTCCCTGCCGGAGCCAGAGTTGCCTGTTCATCCCCGTAGCACGGGCTTTCCTGCACGGCACGCGATTCTGCTCGTCACGTGACTGAATTCGGCGATCTCCTCCCCTCCTTGAAAACAGGAAAGGAGGAAAAGGAACTAATTAAAATCTAAATCATTAATACACTTGGAAAAGCAAGCAAACTGAAGTAACGGCATGTTATTAATCAAATAATTAAGGGAGGAGAGATACCCAATGATTGGAAACTGAGTAAACTGAGACTAATATATAAGGGCAAATGAAACAAAGATTAAGGCATATCACCCAATAACGATAACTTCAGTTATATAGAGATTAGCGATGCAGATAGTAAGACGGAGAATGGAGGAATGGGCAGAAGATGTGCAAATACCGGGTAAGCTTCAAGACGGATTCCAAGGAGATAAAAGACTGGAAGATAACTTATTAGTCGCCACGCAATGTATAGAAATAGCAATGAAGAAACAAACTCCTTTATAGTTAGCTTTTCTTTGGACATCAAGGGAGCGTACGATAATGTGGGCCAGGAAAAACTCTGGGGTCAGCTGAAGGAGGTGCAAATTTGGTTAGGTTTCTTCAGCAGGTGTACACAGACAATAAGGCCGCTAGTTGTAACATGGGAAGCAGAAACCACACAACCCGCAGCAATAAAAAGAGGGCTCAGGCAGGGCTGTTCACTGTCACCTCTGCTCTTCGTGACATATCTCAGTGAAATGGAAAAGAAATCAGAGCAGAGCAACGTTTTGATGTGAGTTATATGGAAAAAGGGAGAAAAGGTAGTACGGTAATACCAGCACTGATGTATGCGGACGTCATAGTACTTATCGCAGATAACCAGGGTAGGTTACAGGAACACGGTGGAACATATGTGGAGAGGAAGGAGACACTTTGAGCATGAGTTTTAGTAGTGACGAGTCTGGAGTAATTGTGTTTAAAGGGGTTCTGCAACCACTTCTTCACTGCTTTTTTAATTTGCACCGAACCTGAGCGCACTAAACGTAGTAACTTAGTGAAACTTTTTTTTCTCGAATTTCGCTTCATTTTAAAAGTTATGTGCAAACAAGAATTACAAAAAAAAAACGATTAAAGATTAAAACAGCGCAAGGACACGGACAAGAACAAGAAGGTAGACAAACAAGGCGCTGACTTACAACTGAAGTTTATTCGTTCTAACAGCGATTATAAATACTGTATTGTCACAACAAACAAACATGAATAAAAAGCGTGACCTGGATGCCACGTGCTCACTAGCCATCGCTATGCACTGTCACTGTGTGTCTAGTGCATAGCGCATAATGATGGCTAGTGAGCAGGTGGCATCCAGGTCACGCTTTTTATTCATGTTTGTTTGTTGTGACAATACAGTATTTATACTCGCTGTTAGAACGAATAAACTTCAGTTGTAAGTCAGCGCCTTGTTTGTCTACCTTCTTGTTTTTGTCCGTGTCCTTGCGCTGTTTTAATCTTTAATCATGAAATACCCAACTAGCCCAAACTTCTACTTTAAAAAACAAGCAAAACATAATTTCCGTCATGACGTCCCTGGTCATGGCTTGGGTGGCCGTGAACTGGAGGTGGGGTAGTGAGCTCAGCGAGCACTCCCGGCTGCCGCTCTCCTTCTCGACGGCTCGAGAGGGCACCACTAAAGCATGTGCTGGATAGGCATGGATGAAGCGGGCGGCGAGGGCGGCTCGCATTGCATTTTCTGCGCGACTAAACGCTAATTCGGCATGACAATTCATTGGCCACAAACGACAGCAAACCCAGGGTAAAGATGAGTTCAGAACGGGAGCCACTTCGCGCTGCCAAACCACCAAATGGCCAAACCGCAAGCCAAACCTCCTCGCTGAAGGCCTTCGGAACGCTCGCAACCGGTCGGATCTAGTCGGATCGTCCAGTCCATATATGGACTGGACGATCCGGTTTGTCCATATATGGACAAACCGGATATATACGCGGCGACGCTGCGGTCGTATACGACCGCAGCGTCGCCGCGTATATATCCGGGACCTTTCTACGCTCGCCACCAAAAAACGCTCCTAGGCCGCCGCCATGTTGCTGATGCTGATGCGGCTGGTGTGACTCTCGTGCCCTCTATCAGCTAGAAAATTTCTGCCAGTCTCTGGGACTGTGAAGACCCGCTCAGCGCGGTTCTCTACCTACGTTTTTGCGGTTTTGCATTCGACGTTTTCTCGCCCCTCTTAAAGGTTTGCACTTAATTTTTTTTTTTTTTTATGCGTGCTGCGTATTTTTTTTGTGTTATCTTCCATTGTGAGAAATAAGGCTGGTAAGTGCCTGCCATTCAAACTTTTCTGCTCGACATTCACGGGAAACCAAGGAGGTGAAGGACGTCGAACGACCACCGACGCGATTTTGCGAACATTGTTCTCCCCCCTCCCAGAGATAATCCGCGTAGAATTCTCAGTCATCTCCAATAATAGTTGTCCAGGTTGGGGTGGGAAACGGGTCAGTCGCGTTCGTTCCTTTGCAAGCTTGGTGCGGTTGTGAAAAAAAGAAGGTCTCCCCAAAACGTGCCCCAAGACGAAGTCATCTCGGATTCCGTCCGATCGTCAAGATGTGACTGTCGTCGACTGTGACTGTGTTATTTGAGATCTTTCTCAAATAAATTATTTTCGGATAACGCTGCATCGTGTGGTACGTACGATATATTGCTCGAGTGTTCCTGTCCATCGGTAAACACGTTATTTGCAAGCGTGAAAAATGCATGCCTTTCGGCCCTCTTCTGTTGCAATTTATTTTTGACAGCAAAGCGCTTTGTCGTTTCACATGCGGCGAATCCTGTGGCGCCGTCAAAACTTATCGTA